GGGCAAGCTCCCGGGAGCCGCCAGCCTGGTCCCGGGAAGAGGGGGTGGGCTGGGGGACATCGGGTGGGTGGCTCTGTGCCGTGCCAGGTGCAGGGTCTGCTGGCTGGGTGCTGGCAGGCTTGCACCTGACATGGGCACCGTAGCCAGCCCGTGGCCCTTTAAGGGGTCCGGGGCCGGGAGGGGGGCATAGAGTTTCCCTGGTGTTGGCCTGAGTGGCCACCAGGGAAACCTGGGGAGGACTAGCCTCCCACTAGTTCGAATTAAGGGGCTACACAGTCCTTAATTCGAACTAGTAAGTTCGAACTAGGCTTAATCCTCGTAAAATGAGGTTTTCCTAGTTCTAACTAAGCGCTCCGCTAGTTGGATTTAAATTCGAACTAGCGGAGCGCTAGTGTAGCGCCTATGAATGTTAGTTCGAACTAACGTCCGTTAGTTCGAACTAACATTGTAGTGTAGACATACCCTGAGAGTTAAGCATGTGGTTATTCAGAAGCACTTGGATTCATAACTCTTTAAGTTGCTGAGAAAAAGTACTTACCTCAGGTGGGTAGGGGTTGCTTTCGGGAATGGGCTTTGGCTGTAAGAAAACCAGAAAATATGTTATTTCTTCATAATAAGGAGTAATTTAAAATACAATACTGTTTCATGAAAAGAAACCTCTCTATTTAAGAGTCTGAGGGTATGTCTAGACTACATGGCTCCGTCGACGGAGCCATGTAAACTAGTTTACCCGGCATAGGCAAAGAAGCAGGGATTTAAATAATCCCCGCTTCATTAAAATAAACATGGCCGTTGCGCTGTGCCGACGATCAGCTGATCCGGCACAGCACGGTAGCCTAGATGCGGATCAGTCAGCTGGGGAAGCCTTTGCCGATCGATCCCTTCTGCCTTGTTTCACAGGGATAAGGGATCGGTCAGCAAAGCCTTCCCCAGCCAACTGATCCGCGTCTAGACTACTGCCCTGTGCCGGATCAGCTGATCGTCGGCACAGCGCAACGGCCATGTTTATTTTAATGAAGCGGGGATTATTTAAATCCCTGCTTCTTTGCCTATGCCGGGTAAACTAGTTTACATGGCTCCGTCGACGGAACCATGTAGTCTAGATATACCCTGAGAGAATGATAATGACTAGCACTGTCACATTATAACATTTTAATATATCTCAAATCATTTTACAAAAGAGACAAGAGTTATTATCCCCATTTTACAGACGGGAGAGTTGATGCACCAAGAGTTAAGCAACTTGCCCAACACCAACAGTAAGTCACCAGAGGCAAGTGGAAGTGAGTCTCAGAAGCCACCCAGGCCTACAGATTCAAGCTGTGCTACAATGCTAAAAATAATTGTGTAACTGTTCCGGGTTGGTCTGGAGTTTAAAATCTAACACCAAGGCTACGTCTACACTGGCCCCTTTTCCGTAAGGGGCATGTAAATTTCACCTATCGTCGTAGGGAAATCCGCGGGGGATTTAAATATCCCCCGCGGCATTTAAATAAAAATGGCCGCCGCTTTTTTCCGGCTTTTAAAAAAGCCGGAAAAGAGCGTCTAGACTGGCCCCGATCCTCCGGAAAAAGCGCCCTTTTCCGGAGGCTCTTATTCTTACTTCAAAGTACTTCAAAGTAGACGTAGACGTAGCCCAAGCGTAGAGTATGGAGTTCAGAACTTAAACTCCAGCTCTAGCTGCAAGGTCTACTGCATGTCTCCTCTCAAATCCACTGGTCCTTCGGATGGAAGTCCAAAACAGGATGCATATTTCATTTTGTGTCCTTTCATTCACTCCTTTCTATAGGAAGATTCATTATGCAGGTCCTTTGAAAATTAAACTAAACTGAATAGTAGTATGTTCTATTTTGATCATAAAATGATTTTTTCTGGTGAAAAGTTTGTTTTGACTGAAATAAAAAAGGAACATTGCCTGTATCTTTCAGTGGAGTAATTACTCTGACAGGAAGTGATTGTATCGCGTATACAGAGGAAATCTTATGAGAGGGAGGACTATGGTATTTGGTTTTTAAAATAGGTAATTTTTACAAACCTAGCAGTATCCTTTTAATACTAAATAGAAAATTGAAGTAGTCATATTTATGTCAATTTAGAGGGAGTGATCTCACCAGCAACAAATCTGAGTATAGGGGTTTTCCTACTGTATGTTTAGTGATCATTTCCATACAATAGTGACTCCGTCCCTGCATAACATACTTATGTCCTATTCCAATTGTTTGTCTGTTCAATATTATGGACCAAATTAATCCATGGTGTCAATTCCATTGGCCTTACACACCAGAGATAAGTTTAGTTCAATTTCATCCTATTGATCTTATAGTTCCCTTTGTAACAATAACTATGGTTAGTAATAGCAAGCATTCTAGGATGTCTAAAAATGTATAGACAGCTTTGTAACTATATTGCTCTATCCACAGAGAAGTCAATCTGTTAACAAAAGTTTCCATAATATAACTAATGAGCCCAATGCATCCGACAGCTAGAAAACCAAGTATTTAGTTACTGAGAGATAATATGGAAGATAATTTTGGGCCAGTGCCTCAGCTGGTGTAAATTAGTATAGGTTCATTCAAGTTAAAGTTGATATGCCAATTTACACCTAGGAGAGAATCTGGCCTTTTAAATTCAACAGAGAATGAATGTTTTACCTTTATAATATCATTACCCGAGGAGACAGACTGTGAAGCATAAAAAAAAACCACAATTATTTACTTAGAAAAGAGTTTGACAAGTTTAATTCAGTACCTATAAGATAAGAAGCAGTAATAGCTATAAGGTCTTCTTAGATTGCCAAACCATGAAACATTTGAAAGAAAAATGTTTGGTAATGAAAATTAACAAATAACATAATTAATGAATAACACAGGAAACAGACTACTGGGAACACAAGAGGGAAAAAGTTATGTAACCCAATTGCTGCCATTGTTTATAGCACAATACCAGATATTTCTGCAAGTTTCATAACACAACAAATTAAATGCTGAGAAGAAACTTTCAATTCATTGTAGTAACAAATCCAGTTGAAATGTTCAGTAGTGTGAAATGATTGTTTGAAATAGCAGGTGACAGCATAAAATTAGATTCTGATCCCCTTAAACAGAGATAGAAACATCAGAAGAACATACAAGACTGTAGGAACAGAGCTAGATGGAAGTAATGGAATTCTCTGTATGAACAGAAATGTTTTTATGAAGTTTAAAATGGTTACCAGGAACTTTCCATCCATACACCTTTCCATATGGAAGAATCAGAAGAAACTCCTCTATGTAAACTTCTTCTTTTTATTCTGAGCATCAAACTAGAGAAAAATCTTTCTGGTGAAAATATTGTGTTTCCAAATAGAAAATATCTGCTGACCACTTGCAGAAAAATGATTAACCCATCATTTTAACTAGGAAGAAGGAAACTAACAGATGGAACTACAGGCAGTCCCCGGGTTACGTACAAGATAGGGACTGTAGGTTTGTTCTTAAGTTGAATTTGTATGTAAGTCGGAACTGGTACATATTGTAGGGGAAACTCTAGCCAAACATTTCTCCAGAACTCAGTTTTATTCTCCTACACCTCACTTCCCTCAGTCCTTTATTCTCAAGCTGAGGTGTCTGCTGAGAAAAGCCGCTCCACGTCTCCCTGGTCTGCTGGGGGGGGCGCTAGCTTTGCGTCTCCCTGGTCTGCTGGGGGGAAGCAGCTAGTGCGGGGTTGCCTCACCCCGTTTGTAAGTAGGGATCTGATGTAAGTCGGATCCATGTA